GGGCTTCTTGTGGTCATCAGTCTGCTCTGCCTGTGCAGTACAGGCTGAAAGTGCCCAGAATTAACACTCCCTAGAAGCAGCACCCAACCAATGACTAGAGGGAGCCAGGGTTCCCATCCCCAGCTCCCACTCTGCCCCTGAGCTACATCAGCTTCTTCCATCCTTATCTTCATCTCTAAGCTGGAGCTCTGATACAGGGGAGGCTGATGTAACATTGTAGGACAGAACAGGAGATATCTAGTCACAGAACTACCTCTGGCCCTCACTTCTGAGAAGGTCATCATTAGTCTTAACAGGACCCCACTGAACCCATGCACCCACTGCTGTGTGACTTCTTGTCTGTTTTTTTGACAGCTATCTTGGCGGCAGCACTATATCACTTCTCTTCTAGGGCTAGTTTTTATAAACTCTATGCTTGGATGTCTTATCCCTCTGGAACTAACATGCAATAGTATCTCTTTCAAGTCCTCAATCCTAAGCCAGGCATGGCAGTGCAGACCTGTAAACCCAACAACTTGGGAGACTGAGGAAAGAGGATCACAAGCTTGAGGCCATGTCACAAAAAATGAAAAGAGCTGGACATATAGCTCAGTGGAAAAGCACCTTTTGAGTTTGATCCCCAGTACTGAAAAAAGGAAAAGAAGACCTCATCCTTTGTAAATTGGAGGCAGTTTGGTTGCAAACTGCTGAATCTGCTAAGAGTTTTAAATATCCATTCCATTGAGTCCTGTGGATGAATAGCCCAAGAATAGCAATAATAATTCTAGGAGAGTGAAAGCACTTTTGGACCACTACTTAATGTGTGTGTGTGTGTGTGGGGGGGGTGTTTGTTTTGTTTTTGTTGTTTGTTGGTTGGCTGGTACTAGGAATTGAGCCCAGGGGTGTTCTACCACATTCCCAGCCCTTTTTATTTTTTGTTTCGAGAGTATCTCACCACATAGTGAAGCCTCAGACTTAAGATCCTCCTACCTCAGCCTCCTAGTTGCTGCATTACAGGCATGTGCCTCCACACTGGTTACAGTCTCCTCTTTTATGTCTTTTTCCCCTTCATGAAGTTATCATGCCTGTTTAGTGATAATTGTCTGAAATCACTGATGGTGTTCATATGTGCATTTTCCTTTTCTCTCTCTCTGCTGGCTTCTCCAAACTTGAAAAGATTTGCTTGTCACTTTTGAAGATTGCCATGTGTTTTTATTAATGCTGTGAGAAAGAAAGAACATTTAATATGGAGCTCCGTCATTTGTTATCTGGAGTAGCTGGAGCAACTTATGGTGTCTCTAAACCAGTAGTTCTCAGTGGGACAGCACTGCACTTCTGGGAATTTGTTTAAAATGTAAATTCAGTTCTTCCCTGAACCTATTGAAACAGAAAGTCTGTGCTGGGCCTCAGCAAATCTGTGTTTTAACAAGTCCTATTGTTTAACAAATCCTAAGTTTTGATTTTGAAGCATACTTGGTTTCCTAGAGATTGGATACTGACAATTTTTTTTGCAAGTGAGATTTAAATATGATAATATATGTAAAATAAATTGCTAAGTTAGGAAATGCCTACAGGGGCTGGGGAGACATGAGGTAAAAGGGAGTGGTGGAGGAAATAGCCACCTTGTAGAGAGACATTCAAATTATTACTACTTTTTAAATCATCATACAAAATAAAACCTCTCTAAAAGTTAAATTCTACAAGGGGTAAGAGGCAGGGAGGGAAAATGCTGGAGAGTGATACTGGCCAAGTTATATTGTTATAGTGTGTGCATGTATGTATATGTAACAACAAATCCCAATAGGTACAACTATTATTCACCAATCTTAAAAATGTGGGGAAATAAATAAATAAGAATTTTTTAAGTTAAATTCTGCCTCCAGAGGCCATTAGTTTAGGATAAATATAACCTATGAAATCTTAAACAAAATTTTCAGCTGCTTTAATTTGACCTTAAAACAAATGGAGAAGCCTGTAGGTATATTATTCCTGAAAGTCCTTGGTTTCCAACAATTGCTATAATTAGCATAACCACATAATTTATTATCCAAACTGGAAAACTGTGAGAATGAAAGGAAGTACTAGTAATCTTTACAACAGGTTGGGGTGTAGCTCAATGGTAGAGCACTTGCCTACCATGCACAAGGCCCTCAGCTCAATCCCTAACACCTGGTGGGGGCTGGTGAGGGAGAAAAAAAAAAGTTGTGTACCAGGACAAAGGTGAAACCCAGCACTATTCCAGGCAAAGAAGAATGTATAATTGCTCTGGCTATATAATCATAAAATCATCCACCATCTCCGCTTGACTTAAGATTTAGACCAGATAAAAATGAACGGTCTTTCTCCGCTAGCACCCGCAACGCTGCCCCTCCTCCTTCTCAGCCTTGGCATTTACGTTCATGGCCTTCTGCTACATGCTGGCACTGCTGCTCACCGCAGGGCTCATCTTCTTGGCCATCTGATTATAGCATTTAATGAGCTGAAGATTGATTACAAGAATCCTATAGACCAGTGTAATACCCTGAATCCTCTTGTACTTCCAAAGTACCTCATCCATGCTTTGGTCTGTGTCATGTTTCTTTGTGCAGCAGAGTGGCTTACACTGGGTCTTGGCATATCATATTTGAAGGTACATGAATAGACCAGTGATGAGTGGACCGGGACTCTAGGATCCTTCAAACATCATGAATGCAGATATTTTAGCATACTGTCAGAAAGAAGGATGGTGCAAGTTAGCTTTTTACTTTCTAGCATTTTTTTTTAAACTACCTGTATGGCATGACCTAGTTTTGGTGAGCTCTTAGAACAACACACAGAAGAATTGGTGCGGTTAAGTGCATGCAACAGCCACCAAATGATGGCAAGATCCTGTTTCCAAGAGTAGCCTATGGAATCTGATCAGTTACTTTAAAAAAATGACTCCTTATTTTTTAAATATTTCCACATTTTTTTGCTTGTGAGAAGACTGTTTTCATATGTTATACTTGGACAAAGAATTTAAATGGAATTATGTATAAATTAATATAAAATGATTACCTTTGGTGTTGACAGGTTTGAACTCCTTAAGGAACAGCCATGATCCTCCAAATGAGTGCATTAATTACTGACTGTCCTTATTTCATTGGAAACTTTTGTTTATAGAAACTTGTAGGCCCCATTTTGGTTTTATTGAAATGTCATTTAATCATAAATTAGCTGTAGCTATCAGGTGCTTCTGATGAATTGAAAAGATGTATCTTGGGCTGGGGATGTGGCTCAAGCAGTAGCGCGCTCGCCTGGCATGCGTGCGGCCCGGGTTCGATCCTCAGCACCACATACCAACAAAGATGTTGTGTCKCCGAGAACTAAAAAAAAAATAAATATTAAAAATTCTCTCCTTCTCTCTCTCTCTCTCTCTCCTCTCTCACTCTCTCTTTAAAAAAAAAGAAAAGAAAATATGTATCTGACTTGTGGGAAACTTTATAGGTTTCCTCATTTATCAGGTAGATGATTATATATGGATACATTTACAAAAATAAGAAGAGTGGGAATTTTTTCCTTCAACTTGAATATTATCCCTATATATTGCATGAGTGAAAGACTTCCCATGTTTCCATCAGAGTAATGTACTTGCTTTAATTCTTAAGCATAAGTGAACGTGATATAAAATATATATACTGGATTACTTGTGAAGGATGCATTTAAAGCTATTTTAAATGTGTTTTTATTTGTAAGACACTACTTATTAAGAAATTGGTTATATTATGTTTACTGTTTTAATCTGGTGGTAAAGGTATTCTTAAGAATTTGCAAGTACTTTAGATTTTCAAAACTGAATGAGAGAGAAAATTGTATAACCATCCTACTGTTCCCTTAGTGCAATACAATAAAACTCTGAAATTAAAAAAAAAATGAATGATGTCCTTCTTGATGGGAATAGGTGCCAGACGCTGGAGAGAAGAGGAGGTAAAGGTAGAAACCAGTACTCAGAGATGGGAAGGGAGGAAGCACTCTTTTTCCTTGAGACATATGGAAGGAGGAAAGATTAAGATACAAATGTATTGAGATAAAGGAGGGAACACAGGCGACACTGCTTGATATTTTCCTCATCAGAACAAAAGTCATAGGGCAGGGTAAGCCAGGGATCAGAGAAGCACCAACAAGGAAGAAGAAACATACATAGACCAAAATAAGATTGGGTAAAGAATGGGCACAGAGACATCAGAGTGTTGAAGAACTACAGGGAAAAAAAAAAAAAAAAACAGTAGAGGACAGGTGGCTACTGGTACAATGGGAAAGTAAAAGATTCACCAGGGTCAAGAATAATATACAAAAAGTAAGAATGACCCTGTAGAAAGAAAGTTTCTTGCTTCTCCCACTGGACTAAGAGTTCCCCSACAAGAGAAATAGTTGTTTCTCTTTGTGACTCAAAAATTCCCCAAGGTGGRTGATAATGTCTTCCATATTTTCACAGAATTCTTCAAACCCAAAATAGAGGATTATCTTATCCCCCTTCCTTCCTCCCTGCCTCCCTCCCTTCCTACTTCCTTCTTTTCCATGTGTTCTCCCCAAGTTTGGGCTTKGCTTACAAGGAATGCCCAAAGCATTGCGGGCTTCACTCAGCCCCTCCTCAGGTCCCTTCACAGCTGATGGGAAGTACTTCCTGTGTGGACTTTGGTGCCCTAGTCCTTCTGGTCTCAATTAACTGCCTTTGAAACATATCCTTAATTAGTTCAAAGTTCAGGACAACTTATCTCATTTCAAAAGCAGCCTAGATACATTCACAATATCCATTTGTTCTTAAGAGGTAGCCAGGTAGGATAGTTCTGTTTTCCTCTCTTTATAATATTCCCGACATTTGAATTTTTACTCTTTTCTATCATTCATTTACTTTTCTCTCCCTCTTTGTTTCCTCCCTCCCCATCCTTTGAATTGATAGTCTCTTCGACCCRCACCTCCTCTCTTTCCTTCTCCATTACTAGAGCCAGTGTCCATAGCAGACTTCCAGACTTTCAACACCTGAAGCAGCCTTCTCTTCACTCATGGCCAGCCAACAGTTTTCCAACCAACTGCAGGAGGAAGTAATCTGCCCCATCTGCACAGACTTTCTGCAGGACCCTGTCACCATCGACTGTGGACACAATTTCTGCAACAGATGCATCACACGGATTGGGGAAGCATCAGGCAGTTTTTTCAAATGTCCCCTCTGCAACAGTTCTGTGAACAAAACATTCAGGCCCAACTGGCTGTTGGTAAATCTGGTGAAGAAAATCCAAGCTATGAGTGCTTCTGAGGAGCAACCAGAAAGGGACGAGCTGAAATGTCAGAGGCATGGAGAGAAGCTCTATTACTTCTGTGAGCACAGTGGGAATTTCCTCTGTGTGATGTGTTGTGAATCCGAGGACCACAGAACGCATAATGACAGTTTGATAGAAGAAGCTGCCGAGAAATATCAGGTAGGCATCTGGGGGCCCTTCTCTGCTCCCCACATCAGAAGAGGACTTTAGTGGGGATCTGTAAACTGGTACCTCTTCCAGGTGGTTTGTACCACCCTTTGCTCTTAAGTGGGCAATTCAGTCAGTCATGGTGGGGGATGGCTGCCCAATGCAATGCACCATGAAGACTGGACAGGACTTGAATTCTGGCTCAGAAGGTTTGGGTTCAAGTTCTGACTCCTGTGTATCCTTATAACCTTCAAGGAAACTCTTTACCTCTCCCAGCCTCAGGTGCCTCAAGTTTCAAATGATCCAAACAAAACCTGTGTCTTAAAATTGTTGATAGGGCAAATCAGGGCAAGTTTGTGGGAGTTTTTTGATGATGCCAAAGCACCCTGCAAATATTAATCCTAATTAGTCATAAATAACATTTTTCTCTCTTAGGTCAGTCACTAAGGCTCCATCTTTTCCCATTATCCCACTCCTCCCCCCAGCTTGAGAAAGAAAGTGTGGGGGGTGCTATTAATAATTATATTAGGACTCCCTGGAGAGTCAATCATACCTGCTCCTCTGAGAGACTCAGAGGGATTTAATGAGAAGAGAACTCAGGCACAACCTACAAAAAGGACCCCCCTCCCCACAGGTGAAGATTCAATCTCAGGTTGAGATCTTGCAGCAAACAGAGAAGGAGATAGTACAAAAGAAGGAGCAAGGCGAATGGAAGATCAATGATTTTATGGTAAGGAAAAACTCTATCCCATGGTCCCTGGAAACAGAAACATCTCTGTGGAAGATCCTAAACTCTTTATTATTCTCACCCTCCAAAAAAGGTTCTGTGACAAAAACTGGGGCAGAAAGAGACAGTGTATAGGAGGAGCAGCCCTGGGTGGGGACAGAGAATGTGACCTGCGGGCTAGGTGTGTTCACGCCCTCTCCTCTAAGAACTTGACCTGCCAGGGTGCAGCAGCTGGGTGACCCACCTTGCTTTCACAGAGCAGGTAGGCAGCTTGCCTCTGACACCGGCCCCACAGTTGGTAAAAGGAAAACCTGCACTGGTCTTAAAATCAGAAATACTGGCTTTTAACTAAGCTCTGCCTAAGGAGGCCATGACTAACAAGAGACTGATTCTCAAGTTCGAAATGAGAGACTGTGGTATCACCCAACACTTTTAGGTGTCTTGTTTTGTTGGCATGTCCAAGGAAAAATTATGTGATTATAACCTGACAGCCTTCTGAAAATGTGAGTTTTAGACTCTGAGGTCCTTAAAGGTGAAAATGATGAAACATAACTTAGCCTAAAACAAAGAACATAGGAARTGCTTGTAAAGTTCATTCTTCTCACCTCTCCTTTCCTACAGGTCTGTCACAGTACACGGTTCTGCTCTGGCACTTAGTATAAACTTAATACACTTAAAATTGAATACAGTGGCCTGGGCAGATATTGGAGGCTACCCTCTCATCTCTGTGTCCCTTTCTCTTGCCACCAGAACCATGTAAATTTTGAGAGGATAAAGATCCTTGGGGAATTCAGGCACCTGCAGCAGGTCCTTGAGGAGGAGAAGAATTTCCTCCTGTCCCGGCTCCATTGGCTGGAGCAGGAGGGGACAGAGCAGAGGAAACTCTTCATGGCTTCAATGGAGTTGCAGCTGACCACCCTCAAGAAGCTCATTGATTCCTTGAAGGTCAAGCAGCAAATGCTTCCTAGTCAGCTGCTGGAGGTGAGAGTCCTTTGGGGGCAGAACTGTGGACAGGTAGCAGTCTATCCCTAGTCAGAGCATGGACCACCTGACAGAATACGAGAGATTGCCCCAATCATCGTTTTTTTTCTTTTTTGGTAAATTATAGTTGTACATAATGGTGGGATTCATTGTACATATTCATGCATGCACACAATATAACAATATAATTTGGCCAATATTATTCTCCAGTATTTCTCTTTCCTTCCCCTCTTCCCTTCTTCTGATCTCTTTTCTTAATTCTACTGATCTCCCTTCAGTTTTCATGAGATCCTCCCCACACAACAAATTTCATTTCCTTTTCCTTCTCTCACTTGCACATGTGAGAGAAAACATATGAACCTTGACTTTCCAAGTTTGGCTTATTTTGCTTAACATGATGTTCTCAAGTTCCATCTATTTCCTTCAAATGAAACAATTTCATTTTTTATGGTTGAATAATACTCCATCATGCATATATATACCAYATTTTCTTTATCCATTCATTCATTGATGAGCACCTACTCTGTTTTCATAGTTAGGTGAACATGATTATACTGCTATAAATATGATGATGCATATATGATTATAATATGAAGTCTTTTATGCTTTAGGATAGACATCAAGTAGAGAGATAGCTGGGTAATGTTATTGTTCTATTCCTAGTCTTTTGAGGAACCTCCATACTGATTTCTATACTGGTTGTATTTATTTACAGTCTTACCAATAATGTAAAAGTGTTGCTTTTTCTCCACATACTTGCCATAATTTATTATTGTTTATATTCTTGATGGCTGACATTCTAAGTCGGGTAAGATAAAATCTCAGTGTAGTTTTTATTTGCATTTACCCCAATCTTATTACCTCTAGCACAGACATGTAAGCCACATACATAATTTAGCAATATAATGTGGGTCACATGTGTAATTTAAAATATAATGTGAACTATATAATGTGATTTTAAAATGCACTGCAAGACATGTATCTAACTTAAATTTTTCTAGTAACCACATTAAAAAGGTAAAAAGGAAACTAATGAAATAAATTTTAAGAAAATATTTAGTTAACTCAATGTCTAAAAGTTATTTTGTCCTGTTCTCCATATTTTAAAAAAAATTTTGTAGTTTAGATGGACAGAATGCCTTTATTTTATTTGTTTATTTTTATGTGGTACTGAGGATTGAACCCAGTGCCTCATGCATGCTAGGCAAGCATTCTGCCACTGAGCTATAGCACCAGCCCCTTTCTCCATATTTTTGAGGTATTACATTCTGGGAATTTTTTTKGGGGGGTGGGTACTGAGTTTTTGACTTCTAATATATATTTTGCACTGTTAGTACACCTCAGTTCAGAGGCTAAATTGTCAGTTGTTGAAATAAAATGTAATCCTACCAAATCAATAAAGTTGTGTTCCATGGAAAGAGAATTTTACTCCTGCTTCAGTTTTTAATTTAAATTTTAATTAGTGAAAATTCAATTAAGTTAAAAATGTGGTTTACTGTCACACTAGCCTTGTTTCAAGTGTTAATAGCCATAAGTGTCTGTGCAGTGGCTACCATATTGGACAGCGTAGGTCTAGGTGATGCACAAAATTAGATAAGATGATCACACCTGAATTCATCTCCTTTGCCTATAAGTTTTTCTTTCTTTCTCTCACACACACATTCACTCTCTCTCTCTTTCTCTAATTCTCTCTTCCCCATCCCCCACCCCACCCCCAACCCACACACAGAGAAAGGAAAAGATTATGCAAAGCCATTCTAGCCTCTCTCCTGTCCTTGGTTTAGTATCAGAGACAAAAATTAATTCTCAGAATCTCAGTGTTTCTTCTCCTCATCTTSACTCAGTCTAACCACTTTCTTGTCTACTGGTATATGAGGTGCTTCTTGGAGTAGCCCTCCAGGGGCAGATGGGAAGAGTGAGGGAATTGGAAGTTTTCTCTCTCCATCTCTAGCAGGGTGGGAAGCTTCACTTTGGCCCTGTGGTCAGCTACACACTAAAGCTGTGCTCTCTTTCTCTTCTAGGACATCAGAGTTATCCTGCACAGGTATGATGGGCCAACCYGCATGCATCATGCATACAGTACTCAACATATATTCAAACACACTCAACATTTTTCCCTCCCAAATATCTCCACTCTAATTTTGCAGTCAACTATTTAGGTTGAAGATGGGGAATGCCTGAGCCTTAGCATAGGGTTGGTTGGTTTAAAAAAAAAAAAGAAAGAAAGAAAAAGAAGCTTTTTGTCAACTTCCTAGTTCTTCAGCACAGATTCTCCTATTTTCTGGCACCTTCTGTATGCCCCCTTGCTCAACTGGGTGACTCCTGGGTCCCCTACTAAATTTCCCTGCCCCTGTTCTGGTCTCTCCTCTGTCTCCAACTCCCACCTTTGTTTTCATATTTCCTCAAGCCCCACCTCTCTCCAGCCCTGTAGCTCTAGCCCTGGCCCCTGACTCCTAGCTCACTACCCCCTGACTCACACCAGCCAGGCCTCCATCTCCTCTTATGCATGTCACTAGGTCCTCCCTCCCCCACATCCCATCCCCTGATCTCACCATCACCTGGCACGACTTCATAGGAGTGAAGAATTTCAATTTCTCAATCCAACCCTGATTCCTCCACACCTGGAGAAAAAACTCAGTGAAGCAAAATCAAGACATGACTCCATCATAGAGAACATGAAGAAATTCGAAGGTATGGAACTGGCTGTCACCTCCTTCAGTCACCTGCCTCTGGGGATTCTCTCCCCATCACCCTGCCYGCCCCCCCAGAAGATGAACTGTAACTCTTACATGCCAATAATAATTAGTGGGCCCTTCAAATGCTAGGATGTCTGTTGGGCAGTTTCCAAGTATTGCTATGCTTCCTTTCAGGCAATTCTAACTCTATCTTCATAGTATGTTATTTATTTGCCTCCCTGACTCATGACAGCCACTAGAAGGGGCTTTGACTTAAACCGTGACTATTTCTGGGGGACCAGAGAGGAGACAGGATACTACTTTCCCAAGACTTCAAGCAGGGACTGTGAGATCTACAACCAGTGGTTCTTCCTGAGTACAGAAGTGAATCTCAATTAAAAGTCAATGACATTTTGGGAAAATCCTTTTCCCTCTCTCCTGAGGAAACAGAAATCATCCAGAACACCAAGTGAACAACTTGGACTTTAGATAGTTAGTCAAATATTCTTCAAAACCTTGTCTAGGGCTAGAATTGTGGCTCAGTAGTAGAGTGCTTTCCTCACGTGCGTAGGGCTCTGGGTTTGATCCTCAGCACCACATAAATAAATAATATAAAAGTATTATGTCCATCTACAACTAAAATTTTTTTAATTTTTTTTAAACTTGCCTGGGCAGGGCATGGTGGTACATGTCTTTAATTTCAGAACTCAGGGGACTGAGGCAGGAAGATCAWAAGCCCAAGGCCAGCCTCAACAACCTAGTGAGGCCCTAAGCAACTTATCAGGACTCTGTCTCAAAATAAAAAATAAAAAGGGCTGGGGATGTGGCTCACTGGTTAAGAGTCCCTGGTTCAATCCCTGGTACGAAAGAAAGAAAGAGAGAGAGAGAGAGAGAGAGAGAGAGAGAGAGAGAGAGAGAGAGAGAGAGAGAGAGAGAGATAATGGGGAAAGGAGGGAGAAAGGAAAGAAAGAAGAAAGGAAAAAATCTTATCTGGGTTTGCAACAGGGAAGCAGGTTTGGCGTCAGTAAAGACTCCCTTCCTTGCAAAACTGTGTTGTCTAAGCTGGGAGTAAAGATAGTTTTAATATAAGATTCCTCTACTTAGAACTATCACAAAAGTCCACATTCCATCCACATTTACTTCAGGATGTGTTGTCAGCTCTGAAATGTAGCTTGTCCGAATGCGCTACAGGTTTAGAATGCATACCAATTTCTGAAGACTTGGTATGAAAATAAAATGTAAGCTGGTGCAATGGCACATGCCTGTAATCCTAGCTTCCTAGGAAATGGAGACAGGAAGATCCAAGTTTGAGGTCAGCCTCAGCAACTAAGCAAGACTCTGTCTCAAAAAAAAAAAAAAAAAAAAGAATCTAGAATGTAGAATATATGTGTGTGTGTGTGTGTGTGTGTGTATGTATGTGTGTGTGTGTGTGTATATATATATAAAATTTATGGTGCTGGGGATTAAACCCGAGGTCTTGTACATGCTTGGCAGGCACTCAACCAACTGAGATATATCCCTAGCTCTACAATAGTTTTTTAATTGAGACAGGGTCTCACTTTGTTGCCCAGGCTGGTTTCAAATTTGTGAACTCAAGTGATCCACCTACCTTGGCTTCCTGAATAGCTGGGTACTATAGGTACTCAGCTAGCAATACATTTTTATTCTATATGTTAAAATGACAACATTTTGAAAATACTGAGTTAAATAAAACATACTTTAAAATTAATTTCACCAATTTCATTTACTTTTTTAATATGACTAYTAGAAAATTTAAAATTAAGTGGTTCATATTTGTGGCTTCTACTGTGTTTCTACTGGATAGTGCTGGGCTAAAGAATCACTGCACGGAAGCACAAAGGACACTTCTATATTTTAGTATCTTCTTGGTTCACTAAGAATTTGAGAGACAAGCTGGGTGTGGTTACACATGATGATAATCCTAGCAACTGGGGAGGGTGAGGCAGGAGGATCAAAGGCCAACCCCAGCAATTTAGGGAAAACCTGTCTCAAAATAAAAATAAATAAATAAAAGGTCTGAGGATGTAACTCAGCCCCTAGCTTCAATTTTCAGTCCAAAAATAAAATTTAAAATTTAAAAACCAGAATATGAGAGAGAAATCCATCTCCCACTTGTTCCAAGCATCTCAAATTTCAAGTCAGTGCCAAGCTGTGTAGTCCTGTTTCCTGTTTCACCTCCCTCAACTCCATTTCTTTGCATTTTCTACCCCTAGATAACCTCCAGGCTAATGGGAAGAAAGATAAAAACAGATTCCTCAAAGGCATGAATGAGAAAGACAAGCAGAACTGTAAGTGATGGCTGCTTCCTGTCATTTGGGGCAAGTGAGAAATGTAAAGGGGAAGAACTCTCTGGGTTCAAAAAGGCTCCCTGGGTGAATGCTAATTGAACCAATTGAGAAGAACAGACTCATATGTTTTATTTATTTAAACTTAGGTAATCACAGCATAGTAACAATCCTAAATTTTAGAAGTATTCAAAAGTAATAGATTTCTATTACTTTTGAATACTTCTAAAATTTAGGATTCTTCATTGCTTAGAGGCAGAGRAAAAAAAGTGAGACAAGGAAGCAGAGGAGGCGACTCTTTGTAGTATTAGCTGACCTGCTGGGCCTAGGTTTCTGGGCAAACTACTATGGATGTGATGTTAGAATAATTCAGAGATGGAGAATCATTGCCATAACAGCTTGTACTGAAATCAGTAGAAATGGTTCTGCCAACCTGATGGTAACACTAGAATTATCATTTCTTAAAGACCCACTATGTTCTGAGCATCCCATTTCCAAGATTGCAAACCCTACAACTATCCCCCAAGGTAGATGTTATTACCTGCAATTTACAATGAAGCTCCCTGGAATTCCAGAGAAGAGAGCTAGGTTTCTTGGGCCATGTGATTTTAAGTGAAATAGAATAAGAATTCATGGACTGGGGTTGTGGCTCAGAGGTAGAGCACTTGCCTAGCAAGTGTGAGGCCTGGGTTCGTTCCTCAGCACTACATAAAAGTAAATAAAATAAAGGTATTGTGTCCAACTACAACTAAAAAAATAAATATATATTTATGTATATAAAAAGAATTCACTTCTCCAAAGCCAGAAATGACACTATTCATTCCAAAGTCAGCAGGATTTAGAGATTCTATTCTACCAGCATTCCACAAGAGGAGATACTGACCTTTGAAGAGGGTAAGTGTTTGTTGTGTTCCCTGACTTGTACCCTGATGAGTGTTCAACATCTCAAGTTCTAGCATTATGGACCAGTAGGGAAGCCTCCTTCTGTCTGTCATCCCCTTGGGTCGGGGATGGTGTTCACTGAGAACCACTGACTGTTGTTGTGGTACTGAGGATTGAAGCCTGGGGTGCTCAACCACTGAGCTACATCCCCATCCCTTTTTATCTTTTGTTTTGAGATGGGGTCTTACTGAGTTGCCAGTCCTCAAACTTACAATTCTCCTGCCTCACCTTCCTTGGTTGCTGGGACTACTACAGATTTGCACCACTACCCCTAGCTAACTATTTGTATTTGTTTTTAATATGCAGTTTCTGGTTATTAAAACTAAATTTGGGTCTGGGTACATGGCTCAGTGGTAGAGTGCTTGGCTGGCATGGCATGTGAAAAACCCTGGATTCCATTCCTAGTGCCTCAAAAAACTTTTTTGTTTTCTCTCCCTAATTCCTAGGGTGTCTTTTAGAGAAAAATAATCCAGAGTCATCTTTTCTAACTAGGAGTCTACTCCAAACCCTGGGATTTTTCCTGTGGAGTAATGAGAGGACCTCCAAGTCTACTGGAGGAAATGCTCTTTCCATCCACCGTCGGGAATACACTGAACTGACCCAGAATACACTGAAATTTCCTAACATGTAGGCCACCCTCTCCTGTCAGAACTAGGTGGAAAGAATCAATGCTTTCAGTACCTACCTGAGATTGAGATTACAAATCAGCAGAAACTCCCCACTACTCAAATAGGAGAATAGGAAAACAACAGAAAGAGGGGTTTAGAGACACCTTAAAAAGAGATTGGGGGATGGCGTGCTGTGGAATCTATAGTTCTTGAATATACCAGGTGCCACATTATTGCATGGGCAGATATGGGTGGCAAACAGGCATCTCATGAGTCTTCTCTACTTTCCAAATTACAGGAAATACTGGGCCCCCGGATCCGTTTGCCCCTAACCTGTTTCTTGAATTTAGCCTAGGTCCCTCCTGCTGTAGGTAGAACTCAGCCGCACAATTGGCGATGGAGATTCATTGCTGACGCTTACTGACATCTTTTCTATTTTCCTTCTCCTTCTTCCTCAAAGGGGACGAAACAATTAAGCAGGGGCCATCTAATCCCTACCCCCGAACTCCAACCCACGCCTTATTTGGGGCTCCCTTTGCTGGGGAAGCCGCCCCTTCAGCATCACTTCTGGCCAGAAGCAGGGARACTTATGTTGAAGTTCCTGAAAACGGAGCGGGGAGCTTTGGCGCCGAGATTACTGAACGGTTCAAAGTGGTGCTGAGTGAGTGGTTGAAGGCGATCATGGTCCCTTTTTGAGCAGAGTCGCGTCGAGGGAGTGGAAAGTCGGGGAGAGGCCTGGGCTACTGACAGGGAAGATGCGGGTGGTGGTGAAAGCTAGAGAAGGATGAACGCGTTCTTTAATGAAACGAAAGGAAAAGGCAACCTTGGACCCTTGGAGCTCTAGCCTCATTCTTGGCTTCTCCTATCACTTTGGCTATGGTGCCCCCTAGAGGATAAACGTAGTCCCTACCACTGTCTCCCTCTGATTCCCTCCCTGACTACCCCGCCGCTCCTCTTTTTAAACTGTTTGAGTGGCAGTAGTTCAGGCACAAGGCCAAAGATGAGTAAGGCCTGCTTGGGTCAAGATCCTAACCCTCCCCATGAGCCTTCATTCTTGTGTTTGAGGGACTTCACTTTGGAAAAATTACTTAAGCTCATTAAGTCTGAGCCTCAACATCTCATACTAGCCTCAATCAGGGACCACGGGAAATGAGGAAGGAAGAGATGATCTCTCATCTTTGATTGTTGAAATGATCCCACCACCATCAGCAGCAGGGAGCTCCCCTCTGCACCCATAGATCAGCACATGATGAAATTAGGGATGGACTTTAAGGGGGAGATAGGCCTAGGACTTCTCCTATGGCTAGGGTTGTGCCTGGGGAGAGGAAACCTATTTCCAGCTGCATCTGGGGAAGCTCAGAATTTGGGGTTGAACAACTTGACTCTCTCCCTCTTTCTCCTCATTTTCCCACAGCCCCTGTGACACTGGATGCGGCCTCGGCCCACCCAGACCTCATCCTTTCCCAGGATCTAAAGACAGTAACTCTGGCCCTCCACTTCCCGCGCAGGTCGGAGGAGCCCGCCAATCCCGAGTGCTTCTACCCTTTTCGTTGTGTACTGGGCTCTCCAGGCATTACTTCTGGCTGCCAGGCGTGGGAGGCGGAGCTTCAAGGGAGGGAACGCGGGGGCTGTCTGGTGGGCGTGGCCTCGGAGCTAGTGTCAAGACGCGGTTGTCTACTTGTGGAGCCCTTGGCAGGCCTCTGGACGCTGCGCATCACAAGCATTGGGTGCGAGGCGCTCACCGATGGTGGTACCCGGGAGAACCTCCCCATCCGTCCGAAGAAAGTGGGCATCTTCGTGGACCACGCACGCGGGAAGATCGTCTTCTTTGACAGCACCACAAGCAAGCACATCTATACCTTTCACGCCTCCTTCGCTGGGCAGATCTTCCCCTTTTTCCAGCTCCTGTACCCTGGCACCCGAATCTCCCTGAATCCCTAGAGTTGTTCCCTTTCCTTTCTCTCCGTCTCTTCCCTTCTAACTCCCCATTTTGGGATGCGCTGCAGCTAGACCCATTGAAGCTAGGCTTCCTGGAGCCCTTTCCAAACATTCTGATATTCTGACCCCATTTAAAATTTTCCATTTTTCTCTCAGGTTCCCCTTCCCCTTTCTATGTCTGAATCAAGAAGAAAGACTCAAATACACCAAAAGATTATACATAAGGCTATCGGTTGCAGTACTTTTTGTAATAGAACAAGATTGGAAGCAACTCAAATGCCCCTCAACAAGTGATGGTTAAAAAAAGCTGAGGTGAGAAGGCATTTGAACCCTAGTTGAGACTAAGATGCAGAAGCTGACCTGAGCTGCTCCCTTCTTTTCCTCCACCTTATTTTTCCTGCTGCACACACCTGCACAAGTAACTCTGAATGCAGCCTTTGCTGGTCCAGACCTCATCCTTTCCTGAGGTCTGAAAACCACCATGTTGGGCTTTGTCTCTTCAGAAGACTCAGCCAGATCCTCTTTAACACCAATTTGCAAATGAGGACTATTTATGTTGTAATATGGGATGACCTCCAAGATATATTGTTAAGTGAAAAAATTAAGTGGGTAACCATACATATAGTATGTTAAATGTCACATAAGGGGGGGGTATTAATATACATTTTTCCTTATATTTATTTTCTTTTTAAATAGAAGGATAAATCAAAACCTAATTCAAATTACCTATGAGGGAGGGTAAAATTAGATGGAAATTAGTCTTTTCTAAATATTTCATACCCAGGGCCTTATGCTTGCCAGCCTTTACTGAACTCACTGAGCCACATCCTCAGCACAAGTGTGTGTCATTTTGTATATTTGACATAATGTAAATATTTTACATCATTATAAAAATTAAATGAGATTAAATGAATCTAACTGTCTACATAGTTAGTAATATTTCTTAGCTATGTCCATAAAGAAGAACTAAAACTAATTTGAAACTCATCAGATTTAGATCTGAGTAACAAGAGATTCAGAAGACACAGTCTGAAACTTCCAATTTGGAAAATTTGCAGGAGAAAGAACAAGTTTTCTTCATTAAATTAAATAAATTGCTGAGAGGTAGGCACAGCGGCACATGTCTATCTATAATCCCAGCAATTTGGGAAGCTAAAACAGGAAGAATAAAAGTTGGAGGTCAGTCATAGCCATGTAGTGAGACTGAAAATGAAAAATAAAAAAGACTGGAGATGTAGCTCAGTGTTAGAGCACCCTTGGGTTCAATCCTCAATACCACAAAAAAAGAAAAAGAAAAAGTAACAAAAAATTGCTGGGAAAGGAGGAGAAACATACAGACTAAAAGAGACTAAAGGACATATCAACCACATGCATTGCAGACTTGTTTGCATCTTGGTTTGAATAAGTTAATTGTAATTAATTTTTAAAATTATGAGACAAAAATTTGAACAACAGTTGTACATTTACATTAAAGAATTGTTCATCTTTAAGGTATGATCATTATATTTTTATAAGCTATTTGCATACTGAAGTTTTTACAAAAGAAAAGATGTGATGTCTGGTATTTGCTTAAAAACAGTGGGAAAAAAGAGGCGAGATGAGTTGCTAATTGTTGAAGGAGGAGATAAGTGCCCAAGAGTTCATCATACTATTTTCTCTACTTTTATATAGGTTTAAAACTTTTCCATAATAGAAAGGGAGCGCGCGCGCGCACACACACACACACACACACACACACACACACACACACGAGGGTCGGGGAGTGAGACCCTCTAAGTAAGGTCTCTACCAGAATCAATATTTGGGAGTGAATTTGACTCAGGACCCAGACATCTATCCCTTCAGAAATGCTGAAAAGTTTCTGATTATGGCAAAAGCTTTCTTTTCAAAGACAAACCCTCCGACTTTTCCAGGTCCTCATACTGAGAAAGCAAAGTTAAACCAGTACTGTGTGCATCTTCCTCTCAAACTCTCACCATCACAACAAAAATCTGTATCATTTCTAGTTTTGCCAGGAATCGAAGTTAAACTCAAAGGACTGCCTGTGTTTCCTGGGTGATACTGAATAAGTAAAAAGGACGAAGAGACGGACCCACGATTTGCGCCAGAGTTCAAATTTTTCTAGGGTTTCTTCCTCTACGACTCTCTTCAGCTGGCCGGCGGGCAGGGTTGGCAGCTGGGGCGGGCATTCCGAGGTTTTTACAGCCGCCCAGTTGGGATTAGGAAGCGGCAGGATTGCAGCCGACGTGCCGAGTCGCCTGCTGACCGCCAGGCTGCTGGGCGCGTGTCCCCGCGAAGGGAGGGCGGGCCCAGGTGTCGGGGCAGGAGCGAGCCAACGCCCAGAGCGCGGATTCCAAGAGCGCGCTGTCAGCTCTGGCTGGGCTCCTCCATCCAGTTCCCCCGGTTGCCCGCGAGGCGCCGCTGATTACATAAACAGCCTTGGCTCTTCTGCCAAGGAAAGGACCTGGGACTGGTGACAAGGCGGCCAAGACCGGCCAGCAATTCCCGTCCTGACATTCATTCAGAATCACCCCGGGGTAGTTCAAATTCCCATATTCAAAAGTCCTAGCCATGAACTTCACACACTTTACCCTCTTTAATAATATGCATATTTAGCATCTTTGCTAGAGAGATCTCTAACTGTATTACATTAATTACCTACTTCTTCCCCTTTCCCAACCCCTGACACAGCACAGACACTAGAATGGGGTAGTTGATTAATATTTACTAAATAGAAACCATCTCCTACTTATTCTTTCCTGCAAAGGGCCAATGTCTTGGAAATTCAATTTTTTAAAACATTCAGCCTTTTTTAAAAAAAAAAAAAGAGAAAGAATTTTTTTATATATTTATTTTTTAGGTGTAGATGGACACAACACGATACCTTTATTTTTATGTGGTGCTGAGGATTGAACCCGGGTCCCGCCCGTGCTAGGCGAGCGCTCTACCGCTGAGCCACAATCCCAGCCCTGAGAGAGAATTTTTTAATATTTATTTATTTATTTTTTAAGTTTTCGGTGGACACAACATCTTTAGTTTTTAATGTTTTTTTTTTTTTTTTTTTTAATGTGGTGCTGAGGATCGAACCCAGCGCCCACCCCCCTGCATGCCAGGCAAGCATGCTACTGCTTGAGCCACATCCCCAGCTCTGGAAATTCAATTTTTATGGACCAGTTCCACCTCACTTCCTCCAAGAAGTCTTCCCCAGCCAGGGTGCCTGACTCTTGCTGTAGGAAGTGTGCATACTCTCAAAGCCACCAAAGGACCAGTTAGTAGATGGAAACTCCTTGAAGACAGAAGCAGCCTCTCATTTTTTACTCCCCTATTCCAGTGGCAGTTCAGGGTATGGTTCAGAGTGAATGGAAGAATATTTCACCACCAGGTTTAAATTTGGGGAGGTCTTCCAACCTGAATCTTAATCTTGGGCAATGACCATCCCCTCCCTTATCCCTGAGGAAAGAGGGGCTTCTCTTTCAGAGCCTTTTGGAATCCTATATCCCTGAGGAGTGTTCCGGGTAGGTACTGAGTCCATATCAAGAGCTGAAATTTCCATTCCTTAACTTTTTTTTTTTCCTGTTCCTCCACATGTTAATAGTACCAATAATAACTTGTTCAGCAGTTTTTAAAATGGTTTCAGAGATGTTATTCCATTTACTCCTCACAATCTCTTGAAGAATTATGTATCATGGCACTCCCACATTCCAGATAGGTCATGGATGCTCAAACTTAAGTCTAAAGCACATGCAAAAAGCATTTTGAAAAGACAAAATCCTATAAACAAGTGACAGAATGATTATGACAAATAATAATCTTTCCATGGTATTGTTCCCTCCTAGACACCCTATTAGTTTCCTAGGACTGTCATAACACATTCACACAGACTGAGTGGCGTGAAACAACAGAAATTTATTCTTTCACAGTTTTGGAAGGTAGAAGTCTGAAATCAAGATGTCAGCAGAGCCCTGCTCCCTCTGAAGGGTCTAGGGAAGACTCCTTCCTTATCTCTGCTAGCTTCTGTAATACTGAAATCCTGGGCATTCTTTGGCTTGAAGATGCATCACTCTGATCTCTTCATCTGTCCTCTCCCCTATGTGTCTTTTTCCTTCTCTTCTCTCTCTCTCTCTCTCTCTCTCTCTCTCTCTCTCTCTCTCTCTCTCTCCCCACCCCCAGGGATTAAACACCCAGGGGTGCTTAACCACTGAGTCACATCCCCAGCACTTTTTACTCTTTGAGACTGGTTCTTACTAAATTGCTGGCTTTGAACTTGTGATCCCCCTGCCTCAGCCTCCTAAGCTGCTGGGTTTATAGGCATGCACCACTGTGCCCAGTTTTTCCCTGCATTTCTGTATCCAGATTTCCCTTTTCTTGTAAGGACACCAGTCATACTGGACCAAGGCCCACTGTAATCCAGTTGACTTCATTTGAACTTGATTTCATCTGAAAAGATCCTATTTTTAAACAAAGTTACCTTCATAGGTATCTGGAGCTAGGACTAGCTTTCTGGCAGACACAGTTCAACCTATAATTCCTTCTATCACATACTGGAAAATGAGGTTATGAAAAAGAGAAATGATGGCAGGAAAAATGGTTCTTTAGAGTCATGGCAGCTTTTGAAAGGCTCTGAAAGAAGAACTCCTCTTCCTTCAGGAGCTGAGAAGGGGATGGTCATTGTTCTATTACTGAAAAAGCCAAGGCCAAAACCTGAAGGAAGTCAAAACAAGAAGAAAGGAAGACAAGGTAGTGGGTCAGAGGATGCATTCTCCAGGGAGAGTCAAGTTTGAGCAACTAGGCTGGAGGACCAAGGAAGTGGCAAGGTAGAAGAGAAAACTGTGTAGTGGGAGTGCAGAAAGCATGAGGGGGTGCAAAAGAACTGCTCCCTAGCAAGGGAGAGTAAGCAAGAGCCACCCACTCTTGGGGAAGTCCAGTGACAACTAAGGTCAGTGTCAAAAGGAGGAGGCCCACGGTGCTGAGACCCTTCCACCCACCCCTTGAGAAGCATGGAG